GGGAAAGAAATGTGCATCATTTCATAATATTTGTTAGCCTTAGAATAAAATAGATCCTGTCCTTTTAATCGTTCTGTGGCTTAAAATAAGCAACTTTTTTGCTGATTGATTCTTTTAAAAAGGTATTAGCCGTAAATTTGCAAGACAAAAAAGATAAACAAGGGCCCCGGTCACACGGAGCATTTGCCGCGCTAAAGAGATGGATGATAGGTGGATTTTCCGGGCACGATGACACAGCAACATCTGGGAAGCGTAGTGCTCCCGTGGCTTCCCGCTAAAGATGCGGCTTAAAAAACTAGTACCTACGAGGTACTAGTTTCCAAACTACGCGGGGCAAGGGCAGGCGTCTGATCGTGTCCTGTCCTAGTCCCGTTGCAAACCGGTAACTTTTTTTCCCCAGGATGCACACAAACGATCATGCACATGCGCACCTTCTGGTGAAAAAAATATTCTCGATTGCCACGGAAGCGGCACCTAGCGATTGTTGGTGTGATCACGCCGCGCCGCTTCTTTACCGCGCTGCAGAATAGTCGTGTGATCCTCCCCCCTAACCACAGGACCTCGATGGGACGTCTGATCGGGCAGCTGCGCGTTATTTTGCTCCGGGGCAAACAGCCATGCTCCCCCCCCCCCGCATTTTCCAGCCGGTGTGACCGGGGCCATACAAGAATATCATCGGCATGTCCAATCTTCAGCAGATGTTTTCCTCAATAATAGCTTGCCCTCCAAAAAGTGAGAGGGAAGGAATTTACCTCACTCTGTCTAGAAGTAATAGGGTAAGGGCAGCAAAGGAGAAAGCTCTCAAGCAAGTGTTGCTTAAATGAACCAGATATAATTAGGGCACTGACAGAAAGAAATGTTGAGCTGAGCAAATAAGACCATAACAGGAGCTGGAAATCAGGCTTAGCTGTATGTAGCTCATGGTCTTTTGGGCAAATAATTGTAGTTATGTTCTAACATGGAATATTCCATTTAAAAATGTGGGCAAATTGGTAAAGATATTAATCATGATGTACATCTACTTGGTTTTCCTACTACTACCATATACATAGATAGCTAGGGGTGTGCAATTCCCCACTCAGCACATTAAGAGAGGCAAAGGGAGGCCAGAGGAACCCAAATGGGCCCAAATCAGAGTGGTTGCCATCTCTCCAGGGGGCGCACAAAGATTGAGATACCCGCTTTCCCGGGTTGTGGAATCATCCAGAGGGGTCTCACCATACCTCTAGGAAGGCGGTGTGAATCCAGTGAGTAATGGCAGCAACTAAGGAAGGAAAATAGCCCGCTAGGGGCAGGCAAAAACATCCCGAGCCTCAGAATGGCTGGCTGCTCGGTCTCCCAGGGCTGAGGGTGGGTCCCCGTTCCCTACAATGCAGGAAATTCACACAACTACCTCTCTCCCACACCCCCAGAGGCCCCTCCTCCATGTCCAGAAGACGGATACTAGTTGCCTAGCCTGGTTTGGAAATCCAAAGGTGCCCAGAGGCTGAAAAAGATTTGGGAGTTGGACTTGGTCCCCTGTTCAGGGGACAGCAGCAGAACCAGTGCACGGTGGCCCCCACAACCTGTGCAACCAGCCCTCGCAACAATGAGTCTCTCCCCTGACATCTCTGCGGCCAGAGTCATGGTGGAATCACAGAGTTGGAAGGGACCTCCAGGGTCATCTAGTCCAACCCCCCATACAAGGCAGAAAAATTCACAAATACCTCCCCCTCCACACCCCAGCAGTGACCCCTGCTCCATGCCCAGAAGAGAGATGACTATTGACTACTAGCCTAGCCTGCTTTGGAAATCCAAAGGTGGCCAGAGGCTAAAAAAAAATTGGGAACCCCCCCCCCCCAATTCTAAGCAATAATTTGCCCAATACCCATCACGGTGTAACGCCGTCCACTGAATCAAGACGCCTGAAGTCTGACATCACAGTAGCACAGAATGTGAGTCTTCGAGCATCCAGCTGTGTCAGCTAACATCTGATTTGCCCAAAAACCATGGCTTGGTGTGAAAGCAGCCCACTTCGTCAGGTGCATGAAGTGTCACCTCTACTTAGCAAAGAAAGACATGATCCCCTCCTGCATGAAGCGAAGTGCAGCCTCTGTCTCCTGTCAGTTTATGTCCAAGAAATACCAAAAAATTCTAAAACCTATTATTTCCCAAGAGAAACCATGGCTTGGTGTAACACCTATTATTTCCCAAGAGAAACCATGGCTTGGTGTAACACGGCCCACCTTGCCAGACGCATGGACTGCCACCTGAGTAGCAATAAAGGTCTAGTTGCTCGGTTACCACCAGTGTGCAGTAACAGATGTATGAGTTATGCGCCTCTTACAGGAGGTCCATATGTCGGACGTGAAGTGCACATATCTCCCACAAGCGTGGGACAAGTGTGCCTTCACGTGGTCCCTGGCAGCCCTGAACAATGAGGGCATCACGGTCCTGCTCATCGTGGTGCGAGCAGGGGGCGTGTACCAGGGAAAGGCATACTGGAGTATCCTGCGGAAATCGATGTCTCAACTGCGGAGTAGGGGCACCCGTCTATGGCAATCATCTCAGCAAGAAGGCGAGTGACCTTCCTGCTGGCCTGTTGCTTCCCACCCCTAGGCACTCTAGTGCCAACGTCGCCAAACATCTCCGTCAGAGATGTTTGGCGTCCCTGCCCCATCCCTACCTCGGAACGCGCAAGGGGAGCGCTGGAGGTGGTCGGACGACTCACCTCCTGGCTGGCTGGTGGT